CGGCGTCCGTCGGAGGAATGCCGAATGCAGCGGGGGCGCACGCGGCTCCGAGGGGGCGGAATTGATGGGGCGAATATTCGCATTGGAACACGCGATAATCAGAACACACCTGACGTTTTTGAGTGAGTGATCTACTGCCGGGTTAATAATGCGCGTAGGGTGGACGGTGATGAGTTTGTCGCCGGGTGATGGGATCATTCGCTGGACTGTGGTTCTGAGGGCGACTGAGAGGCGCGAGTGAGTCAGTGAATTAATTAATGTGGTCTTAGGGTAACAGCGGAGTGCGGGCTGCAAAGCGAAGAAGTTGATGGGGTTCATCTCGTGGAATTTGATGTTTGAAGTATATACCTTACGCGTGAAGCATAGGTTATTTGTTGAAACTCTTTGAAAGATTTTGTTCTATATTTTGGTTCGATATGCGACTTTGTCCTACATCATGAAATATAATAAAGAAAAGAGTTTTATCCCAATTTTAAAAGGGAATTAGGTATGAAGCACTTGAAATGGAAGTCAACATACAGTGCTAAATAGTGAAGAATTTCTATACAAACTGGACTGTATTTTCATACATAACTTTTTATGGCTATTACTTATAAAGAGAATTATAAACTGGATCTTATTTAGCCGGAGATGTTTTACAACTCTTTTTACAGTTTCTTGTATCACGTATCTCTAAGCGACAAAATAAGAGGACTGATAATTTGCTACTCTAGACAAATACTAAATAACAAATGATGATTACGATGATGGACATGCAAATTGACCGTGTGGTGTCGATGGCGTGTTGCAGATGGGAGCGCGGAGCTGCGCGGAGGCCCGCCCGAGGACGAGGACGAGGGCGTGTACGAGGACGTGGGGCTGCCCGCGGCGCAACCTGGCGGCGACGGCGCCGACGGCGGCGGCAGCGCGCCGCTAGACCCCTCGGAGGCGTCCTCCGCCCCCAGCCCGCCCCCGCTCCCGCCGGCCCGGGCTCCCGCGCCCGCCCCACGCCCCCGCCCGCGCTCCCGCCCTCCGCCCCCTGCCCCTCCCGCGCCGGCGCCCGCCCGCGCCGCCCCGCGCCCGCCTGCCCTCGGCGCCTGCGCTCAGCCTTCGGACGGCGGCGGACGAGGACGACGAGCGAGGCGAAGGTCGAGGAGCTGGTGCTGCTGCAGCAGCCGCTGCAGCTCGCGCCGCCCGGCGCAAACCCCGTCGCCCTTACTAGCTACAGGTTAGCGCAGCCCGGAATCGCCCGTTGACTGTGTGCAAACATACTTTGTTACAAAAATCCATGGTTATGCTATTATGAGAGAAAAGGAATTCCACGAGGAAGCATGAAGAGGTTCAAGACCACGAGGGCATAGACTGAAGGATGTTGCAGGAGAATCTAAGATATACGGGCGTAAAAAAACGAAAGAAGACAAGAAAATTGAAGAGAAAATTCTGCGAGAGATATATTCTTCTAAGTTCTGGAGAGAGACCTAAAGGAAGCATAACAAGCATAGCTCAGTTTTTTCACGTATAAATTGTAAAATTATTGAGAAAAAGAAGGTACATTGAAAAATCTACAAAACATTGATGGAATAAGAAGAAAATTTTAAAAAATGTTGTCCCAGGATTTAGTTTCTTTCAAAGAAAGCTTG